TATTCATATCGTGAAATATCGAATCAAACGAAAAATTATATAAAAATAAAGTTCGAAAAAAGGACATTAGAATGAAGTTGGGATTAAAAAGAAATATAAACAATCACGACTTTAAGTTTCACAATTAATGTAAAATTATTTTGATATTTAAAATTTATCGATCATATATTTATCATGGTCGCACTTCAACATTTACAACAAATTTTAAATCGCGTAAAACGAATATCTGTAACTTAAAATACTAAATGGAAAAAATAGTAATAATAAATTAGCCGAGCTGGGCCATTTGGCTCGGTTGTAAATGAAAAAAATCGAAGCTAGACGAGCCAGGCCATTTGGATCGACTGTTACAAAAAAAATAAAAAAATAGCAAAGCCGAGCCGAGCCACGATGGCTTGGCTTCGCGACTTATGAATAGTGTCCCCAAACTCACTCTTTTTGGGCCTGTTCGGTATAGCTTAAAATTCAATTAAAATTGAAAATATGGTCGTTATTGGGTCCCACTCGTCTAATAAAAGTAAACAATAACGGTTAGTTTTTCAATTTTAATCCAATTTTAATCTCTACCGAACACGCCCTTTATTATGTAGGATACCAATATGGTTGGGTTCAAACTTTTGACACAAATTACATCTCTCGTTTGTTTTGGATAAAAATTAGTGTTTTAAGAAGTGTATTTAGACGTTGTCTAGACTTGAAGTGCGGACAAAACATTTTGCCTTATAGTAGGTGTGAACTAAGCGCTCAACTGAGTTGGCCACATCATGTGTGACATGCCTAGGTGCTCTTTATTACTTATTTATTTTTATTTTTTCCTTTTTAAAAACATTTTATTTGATTTTAATTCATTGAATTTTACCCCTCTTTTAGAAGGCCTTTATTTGACTTTATTTTCAAGTTTTAAATGATTTTATATATATTTAGATAAGATTTAAGTTATGTTGCTCTCTATATAATATGTCATTATAATTTTGATAGAGAATGTTTTGTTGAAAATTTCGAAAGTATGCATGAAATTTCTATAAATTAAGTAGAACTTATCTAGTTGAAAGTTGAAATTATAAAGAATAATCTAAGTTTCATATTTCGTAAACTTGAAAAATTATAATTGACTAATTGTAGGAATTATTAAGTAAATATAGTATTTTATAATTTTAAATATTTGATATGTATTATTTTAATTATTAAAATATTTTTAGAGTGATTATGTATTTGAAATAATAATAAAAATAAGTAACACTTTTTTACGACTAAATCTCGTCTAAACTCGTAAAGCTAGAAGCTTTTCCTTCTTGCCTACAAACACTTTATGTTTTTTAAAACACCGAAAAAAATAGATTTTTAATAAATTTTGATAAAAGCTGGTGATATATGTAGTTGAAAGTTAATAAGATTTGTATGTCCCACAGAATATGTGGTTGAAAGTGATTTTTTTTTTTTAAAAAAAAAGAGTATTGAGAGAAGGGAGCCAAACATTAGCATGATATTTTATTTTATTTTTAATTAAGACGCTCTCACACTCTTTTTTAACTTAATATCTCTGCCTTTATATAAAATAGGGAATGTTGAATTTACTGTTCCTTTTTCTGCCATCTAGTTCACATTGAAACCGATTCAAGTACTGTACATTATCAAGTTATTTCAATGCAAGTTATATAGAATAATATATATCATTGAGTGGAAACAACGCCATATGACTAACTTCCACTGTTCATCAAAGTATCTCCATATAAAGGGCATTTTGCTTTCTCTCTCTTCATCCACACCTTCTCTTGCTCTTTCACGAGTTTTGCCTTCAACTTTCTTTCAGCCTTCTTTCTCAATTTTCCAGTGTGTCCTTCTCAATTTTGCAGTTGGTTTTTTCTTACTTTACCTTTATCTAGCTGATATTATTCTTCATTTACTTCGATTTACTTTAGATCCTTCGGTTTTTGTTTTATGTTTATTTCTTTGGATCTATTTTTGCTTTTAATGGTTTGACGAGGAGTAGAACAAGTTGTTGTGGGTATTGACAGTTTTTTTGATTTAGTTGGGGTTTTTACACATCTGTAGGTGTTTGTACTTCTAAGTTTGAAAATTTTACCTTTATCTAGCTCAAAAGATTAAATTTTTTGTTGATCTTTGCACCGACTAATAAACAAGGATAAAAAAATATCGAAAAAAGGAAGGAATTGAAATATACTCGCGGACATCCCCTCCCCCACACACATTTTCCAACGTTTTTATGGAAATATATGCATAAAATATTGAATAGGCTTTTGACTATGATGTTAACTACTTGTTATTATTTCAGCTTCTTGATTTTGAGATTTTTCTTGGGCAGCGTGAAGTATGATCCTTGTATTTGTTGTTATCATTTTTTTTTTCATAATCTTTGATCGATCCGATGTTTCTAAAATCTTGAATTGTGTGGCTAAAAATAATCTCCTCCTGCCATGCCTCTAGGAAGATACAAGCATAGTTCTACAACTTGGATTCCTAAGAACCATGTTACTCCACTTCGTAAGAGTATGACATCACTTTGCAGATACCAAAACAATTAGAAGAATGTAGAAAAATATCCCCATATGTCAGAGATCTAGTCTTTCTTACAAACTCGACATAATTCATTCCATTTTTGATGTTGTATAATCATTTTCTTCTATTGTCTAAAATACAACACTCAAACATGTACATTCACCCATCATCCTTTATTCAACCAGTGCATATATCTTTCATTAATCCTTATTATTAAACACGTTGACATTACCTTTAAAATAACACGACCCCTCCATGGCACGGGCAAAGACTAGTATGATTACAAAAAGGTTAATTAATAAAAGTAGTTAAAATACAAATATATTATTCTCAAACATACATCTCTTGTAACTTTAAGTCCTTTTGGGCAATAGGTGTTGATTTTTTAACATACTAGTCACGGCTAAACGTGTGTTGCACGTTATTTCAAAAAACTTTATAAATACTGTAAAAATGATATTTGAAAATCAGTGAATATAAAAAATAGTTAAAAAAACTGTTTATGTAAAATGAACATTTTATACAATTCAATTATTTATTTACACGTATGATAATAATTAACATTAATTTTTATATATCCTACTATAATTCAATCGATTAAGTCTTCAAATTCATGCATGCAAACTTTATATATTTTGAAGGCTGCTCAATTACTATAGAAATACTACAATTCAATTATTTATGTATGCGCATGTATACTAATTAACATTTATTTAAGGATATATTAAATATAACATTAAGTCATCAAGTTCATGTACACATGTTTTGGGAGTTATTCAATTATTATAGGAGTATATAAATTATTCAAGTTCATGAACACATATTTATTTTCAAGATTATTTATTTTATCATAAATTATTTTAGGAGTATATAAATTATTAAAGATCATATAATTTAGAGGCTATTCAATTATTGTAGGGGTAGATTATTCAAGTTCATGTACACTTATTTAATTTCAATATTATTCATTTGATCTATGACAACGCCATTTATTTAAATATATATAAATTTTTTTTTATATTCATTGATTCAAATTAATTAAATTTCATGTTGGTTCATGTACACCCCATTTGTTTAAATGTATATAAATTATTATTTTTCTGTTTCTATTAATTCAAATTAATTAAATTTCATGTTGGTTTACTTACACCCCATTTGTTTAAATGTATGTGCATTATTCTTTTTCTATATTTATTGATTCAAATTAATTAAATTTCATGTTCATGAATTAATTTGATTGTTCTCATACAATTCAATTATTTATTTAAGTGCATGTTTAAATATTTATATTGAAAACGAAAAGTAAGGTACTATTGAAATAATTAAATTATAGCAGGGCTAAAATTGTTCAGAAAATGATTCTCACTTGATGCGATATTTAATATATTATAGATTTTACTTTTTTATGAGTTGAAATCAAGAAGTTCTTATAAGAAAAACAAACTATGCCAAAGTGTTTAAAATAAACAAACTAAATAAATTTAATAATAAAAAATGTTCTTATAAGAAAAATAAACTACGCCAAAGTGTTTAAAATAAACAAACTAAATAAATTTAATAATCGAAAATGTTCATCAACTTCTTTTTTCACTTCCATATCTAATGAAAAATTTAATGGAATGAGATGTTTCACAACCACAACCAACAATGTTATATTAGGTCTAGTTCTCTATCATTAACTTATTATTGGCCTTTTTTAGCCTCATTTTTTTAAATGTAAAATGCATTTTGAAAATAATAGATTGATGGAGATGTGTGATTTAAAAATGAAGGAAACGTTTTTGGGTTTTGATTGAAAAATGTATGGTTGAAAAGAAGATAGGAAAACATGCATTTTGAAAAAAATTAGGATCAAACAAGAGCTGTATCGAATTTACATCCCTTTCTATTTTTAAATTAATTATAATGAGCGAATGTCAAGAACGTTAGGTTTAATTATGATACAATAATAGCCCGTTTGATTCTCATTATGGTAGAATGATAATGAAAAATATAGTCATTATTGGCCCCACATAGAAATTTAAAATTGATGATTTGATGTAATGGATAACAGTTATATTTTTCATTTTTATGGATGAAAAATGAGAAACAAACGGAGATTAAATAAAAATTATAACATCCTATTATTATTATTATTATTATTACAGAAATGATCTAATGAGCACCGGTGCTCATTAGATCATTTCTGATTATTATTATTTTAAATTGCATTATAAAAATCGCGTGCCATAGAAAAATCTAATGATCTGTACATGATCAATGCACTCGAGTGCATCGGACACGTGTACGACTGTGATCACATCAGCTAGCCTAGGGCGCAGCCTTACCCAATCGATCCCTAAGTACACCTCTCAGTTTTTGTCTATAAATCTTCTCATTTCGCTCACTGAGCCTTGGAAGTAGCTCGAGAAAGTAGCGTTCATGTAAATTCGTTCGTGGTAAATTCATAATTTCTATCTTTTTTTATTTTTCCATAAGCTGAAATGGCCAAGGCTAAAAAGGCGAAAAGTGAAGAGCAGAAAGGAGGAGATAATACTAATTCTGAAGCAGTGGTTAAGCATCAGAAGCTTTGTCTCTCTATCGACATGGACAATCGTCGAATCTACGGGTATGTTCATTTTAATCTTTTATTTTCTTTTTAATTTTAATAGATGTGAGTAGGAATTGAGCTATTATTTTAATGGTGGCACTGCATTTTTTTTTTAATTGTCATCGTTCATTTTTATTATAGCTCAATTGAATTTGACTGATTTGTGTCGCTAAATACTGAATTTACTCTGTGTAGTTGTTTGATTGAATGGAATAACTGGAGAATTACTGTAAAGTTCACCTTTTTTTTGTTATTTTTGACAAAGAACCAGATTTTTTGAGTTATTTTAATGAGCTGCATTGCATTTTAATCATTCTTTGGGATAATAGCTCAATTAAATTTTACCATGTTTGTGTCTCCAATAGAACTTACTTTGTCTACTTTTTTTTTTGACTGAGTTGAATAACTTGAGAATTACTGTAAGATTTACCATTTTGTTGTGCCTGTTGTTGCAGTGAATACATTTTTAAGTTTCATTATGATGTACCCTATCACTGAGCCAGATTCTTTAGGATTTTTCTTTTTAGTTAAATATTTATTTTTTACAGTTTAAATGTAAGTATGGTCAAATTGTTTATGACACCATTTACCAATTCTTCTGCATTGAAGGCTATGTTCTGTGAAAAAAAAATTGATTATTCTAATTTGAATGAAGGAAATTTAAAATTTTAACATGGTTTTTCTCCAATTCCATGGCCATGTGCCATCCTATAGCGTCAAATTGCATTATATTAATGCATCAGTATGCAATTTTGAGGTCACATTATAAATCCTCTAATATTTATTTACACCACATGCTTCAAATTCTTTTAAAATAGCAATGTTACTTTCGGTGATAATTAGTTTGAATTGTCAGAATTTGGAAAAATAAGGCAAGTACATAACAGGTTGTTATTATTTTCTTCTTTAGGTACACAGAACTTCTGATAGTTGTACCAGACAATGGCATTGTGGGTTTGCATGCAGATAATTTGGCTATTGACAGGGTTACAGTAGATGGGGAGCCAGCAGAATTCGAAGTCTTCCCTCATTATCAGCAATTAGACCCAAAGGATAGATGGTGTGTGGTATCGTCAGCCACCTCAGCTGCTGATGCAGCTGGTTCGGTGTATTTGTCATCTCTTGAGATTGAATTGCTTCCGAATTTGCTAATAATGTGCAGCAAGTCTGCCAAAATGGAGAATGAACAAAGACATGTGCATATGAACACTGGTATCGACTCGTCTGCTGATGCCGAGCAGGTTTATGACCGGTTCTTTGTTCTGTTGCTTGTGTTAATAATTAATATTTTCATTTCTAGAAATATTTTGTCGGTAACCTGTAATCTTATTTACGGGACATGACATCTTTTATATACACTTCATATCCGGCTTGTTAGTTCCGTTAGAGTCACTATCTTTGGTGGTATGTGACTATGTTGAGTTGACTCATGCAAGCAAAGATTGTTAAGTTCGTTTGTATTCCGTCCATGAATTTATGTTGATGTTTGCGTGCCATTTTTACCAACTTTTCCATAGAAGACATGCTACGAGTACTATTATTAGATGTTTATTGGTGTGACAAAGAATGAAAGTTAAGGCAAGATGTGAACAAAGATAATTGGGACTCTTCTGTAGAAAGACTGCTGTATGAGAGATGTTCTGTGCTCAACATATCAACTTCATTTTTTAAATACAATAGCAATAAAAAATTAAGTGTTATTCTGAATAAATTTGACGTCCGCTACATTAATTTTTAATTACTCGTCATTCTAGATCTAGTGGAAGATCCATTGCAATTAAGTTGTTTCAACTTCTTCAGCTTATGTATTCTGATGTATCTCTCTTTCTATTGATCTGAGTATACTAACATTGACTTGCTTGTACGAGCGTGAGCTTGTTTAGCTCTACACATGATATCTACAACCAAGTTGTCATGTCGTTATTTTTCCTTGGTTGAAGACACTCCTCTTGTTGTTGTATATTTCTTTTCTTATTTTATTCGTTCTAGTATGCATGCACATTTGACTTATAATGCCTTTATAACATTCATAATTTCATTTAGGGACATTTTGTTCTACAACAACCCAATACTCAGTACTATAAAGCATAGTTACTCTAATAACTGTTTTGTAGAATTTTTCTTGTAAATTTATTTGTATCTTTCATTCACACATTTCATCAGATAAAGGTCAAGAGATGGGTGTTTGGCTAGTGTTGGAATGAATTTTGGTCATTATGAAGTGGGTGAAAATGAGACTATTTGTTGGTTATCTCATTAACCCACGTTGAATCTCTTTGTCTTGTTTCTCATATATTCCCTTGTTCTTTGAATCTTTATTTCATTTTATTTGCATAGCCAGTAAATGAATTGGTTTAACATTACGATCTACCTAATAAGAGGAGAATTTTGTCATCTCTTGTTATAAGCTCTTTGCTTATCAAGAAGTATCGAAAGGGAAAGCACATCTGTTCTAATTCCTCTGTCATTATATATGTGATGGTGTAATTCAAGTGAACTGTTTTGTGTTTTTATTAATCTAGAGTATGTTCTACTAAAGGGCTGTCCTGGTATTTTTTCCTTGCTATGGAGATGAGATTTGTACGTGTAAGGTGTTAGATGAAATTTTCCGACCATTTATATTCAACAGTTACTTAAAAATATCCATTCATAACAAAATACATCTCAGGATACCAAGCGTAATCTGAATGTTTAAAAGAAGTGCATCATCACATAAATTGTGTGTAGACCAGTTTAGAGAAAAGAATATGGGTTAGAACTGCCAATTGATTTTAACTTAAACTCATGGAAATATAAATATGCATCTAACTAGTATATTAGCTGAATCGGTTACCACTACTGCATGTTGTTGCATGCTAAACTATACTGTCACGTTTCTTTTAAGATATGTTTGTTATGAGGTTTACTCTTCTATGACTTCTCATGTAGGTTGTGTTGGGTGCAGAATGTGAAAAAAGTTCGCATTGATTATTGGGTGGAGAAGGCAGAAACAGGAATTCATTTTGATGATAATGTGTTACATACTGATAACCAGTTAAGGCGTGCAAGGTGTTGGTTCCCTTGCATGGACGATAGTTTGCAGCACTGCTGGTATGTGCAACGTTATGTTGTCAATTTGTTAGCATTCGTATAATTTTTAATTATATTAGTGATAGCTACTCTGTATTTTGTCCAGCTATGATTTAGAATTTACAGTGGCCAGTAACCTCGTGGCAGTTAGCTCTGGAACATTACTTCATCAGGTGAGATAAGGTTATGAATTTTGTTCTATGCACTAGGGAAATGGAAATAATTAAGATTGATTACGAAATAGTGATGGAAACTGCTCTTTTCATATCAGCAATGTGCCCACACAATTACATCCTATCGTTGCATGTAAAACATTTTTGTTTTTATTATTAACATTTATATTATTGATGATTAACGTTGATTTGTTCTAAGTGAGGTCCTTTGGTGCATGTTATTCGCTGATCATGTAGTTTTAGTTTATGAGTCATAGGATAAAACTTTAGAATCTGAAGACTTTAGGGCATAAGAGGATAAATACAATTTCACTTTAATAAAAGTTGGAATAAAGATGATGATGAAGTTACTACAGAGGATCATGTTATACCCTAAAATGATTGATAAATATCTAGGCTTGATTATTAACAAGGAATGAGGAATCGAAGAATTTTTAAACCATGGTTTAATAAAACCCTTACTCAAGAAAAGGCTCTTGGCACGAATTTTCAAGGAATTTATTGAGTTTTTCGCCTCTACTGATTGAGGCGTTAGCCTCAAAGTGCACGCCTCGGTCTCTTAGTGGAGTGCACTTCCTTTTTTATGTTCTGTATCTTGTGCTGGGGCCCACATATTATGAAAAGCCTACCTATCATTTTTGTGAATCAACTTTGAAAAGTCAAATGTCTGCTAGGAAATTAATAAAACTAGTTAAAAATAAGAATTCAACACCTAAAGCGAGACACTATAAAATGAAAAGCTCTGCACCGGCCCGTGTAGGCGATAGCTACTAGGCAACGCCGGTGGCTTGGCAGTAGCGGCAACTTATTATTTTAAATTTTATTATAGTGGCAACTTGAAGGAATCAGGTGAGTCACTTTTCTTTCTTTTTTCTTATTTTGTTTATTCTCTTTAATTTTTTTATTGTTTTTGGGTTTACTTCTCTTATTTGATAGACATCTTCTCACTTTCTTCTTCCAAGGATCTAGTTGCTTTAGAAGTAGATGGTCTTGATTTAGCAATGAACAGAACAGAATGATGAAGAAGAATTTTTGTAGCTGATCCGAAATTTGTTAGGAATCTAGACTTAGTTGATGATATGTTTGATGGCTTTAATGCCATAATATTTTCAATATATACTACTCTTTCTTCTTTGTTTTATTTATTTATTTTTTCTTTCAAACTGTGACCAATTTTTTTGCCCTTTAGCAGATTTTGACCAAGGATGATCCTCCGCGGAAGACATATGTATATAGATTAAATGTTCCTGTGGCTGCTCAATGGATATCTCTGGTAGTTGCTCCATTTGAAATTCTTCCTGATCAACATAGTGGTCTTCTATCACACATTTGTCTACCAGCGAACTTGTCAAAGCTATGGAATTCAGTTGGATTTTTCTACAATGCTTTCGGGTATTTCTTGATATTGGCCCTTGTTTTTACGTTTATGGAATCCCTCAAGTAAAATGGTTTTCCAAAAATGTTATTTTGCATTCATATTTGACGTGACTTTTCATGCCCAAGATTAATATTGTTCTTTCCAACAGCCACTATGAGTCTTATCTAGGTGCGAAATTTCCATTTGGGTCGTACACACAAGTGTTTATAGCTCCTGAAATGGCAGTATCCTCGTTGAGTTTGGGAGCATCTTTAAGTATCTTTAGTTCTCAAATGCTGTTTGATGAGAAGCTTATCGATCAGGTATGCTTATGACATGGGTTAATTTCATTAGTGGTAACATCTATAGGTTGATATTTGATCGGATAAATAAGTGGAAGCTTGAAATAACAAGTTGTCAGTAAGTTCGTAATAAGCTGGTTTACGATTGTGCTCATTGGCATTAATATCTATAAAAGTATTTGAAGAAAAAGGTGAAGACTAGTTGTAAACAAAAGATGGCAAATTTTAATACCAGTACCATTTCTGAAGACACATTAAACTTTCACTACCAGTACTCGAGCTTTTCTTTCTCATCCAATAAACATTTAATGAGAATGATAAATTGTTCGAGGAATAGAGGGCTCTCTTGGCTAACCCCTCTGGTACTATAGAACTGCACAGGAGCCATTCACTGTGATGGAGAATGTATTGTGAGATTCAGAAGTCTATCTATCTAAGCATTGTGCCCATCCTCCTCAGAATGATTATGATAAAACCCCAATTGACATATTGTAAGAGTTTTGGGAATTGGTTTATGTAGAAGACCCTCTCTTGCGTTCATCAGCAGATAAGATATTGTACAGATATACACTACCCTCTTTCTCTGTTTATTTAGTAAAGTTCATGTTTTTGTTAAGTTGATTGAATAAGAACCAAGTTTTTGAAACGACATATTTGTTTGCTAATACACCACGTCTGAAATTAGGAAGGATGAACTTAAGATGTAGCTCCTCACTGTTTTGTGTGGGTGATTTTCTGGAGAGGAATAGGAATACCCTGTTTCTCTTCCTCCTTTCTGGTCTCATTTGTTGTGATCCTTGGGTTGGTTGTTTGTCTGAATGGGATGGGCTTTGAATTTTCTGGCTTTTGTATACCCCTTTTGGAAAGAGGATATAATAACACATTGCTTGCAGAATTTTCCTTCCTTTTATAAAAGCATTCTGATCCCAGGATGCCAACTAAACAATAGCCCTCTTCTTATATCATGCTTTCTTCTGTTATCTCTGTTCTTGTTGATGGACTTAGATTTATTGAACAGACTATAGAAACGAGGATTAGACTTTCTTATGCCCTTGCAAGACAGTGGTTTGGAGTATATATCACTCCTGAAGCTTCAAATGATGGTAAGGCATCAAATATATGTTTACACTTTGTACTGGTAACTACATAAAAGTTACATTCTGATATAGTTACTGTGATGCTTCTTGTCAGATTGGCTCTTGGACGGTCTTGCTGGGTTTCTGACTGACACATTCATTAGGAAGTATCTAGGGAACAATGAAGCACACTATAGGCGGTATAAGGTTTGCTTTTCCTTGCACACCTCATTTATCTTGTATCTTTGTCCATCCTAGTCATAACTTGAATATACTTAATGCTACTACACTTTCCATATTAATGTGTTAGGATAATGGGAAATTAGTCATCTTGGAAGTGACGGTGGCATATATTTTGTCCGAACGCTTTTCGTTATTGATATATTCACTCGCAAACATGTTTGGAAAGTAGTACATGTCTAGCAACTCTTTTGTATAATTCATATAGAAAGGTTAAGAGTTACTAGAAAGCAAAAGTGGAATGATACTTCGTTGATTTCTGGTTTGAAATTTATCTTTGACTTCGTTTCATTGGTAGTTTCTTGATATCAGTATTTATAGCGTGTTTCAGATTGGTAATAGTTCTTTTAAGCTGTGGGTTCTATGAAATATATGGATAAAAAGTATGTTTTGACCGGCTTAAATTATAACTTAAGCCATGAAAACATGGACTTAGATATTTGACTTATTGATTTCTGCAAATGTATGTGTTGTCTGATACATCTGTTCACATGCAAACATGCATACATCAGAAAATGGTGGCTATTAATCAAGTAATACATGAGATTAATCACAAAAACTTAGCTGATTAAAAATAATATGAAAGAAATACTGGTGTAAATGGATTCCGTGTGTTCAGTCAGTTGTGAACTTTTCTTTTTGTCTTAACAGGCTAATGTCACAGTTTGCCAAGCGGATGATAGTGGTGCAACTGTCTTGAGCTCTGCTGCTGCCTCTAAGGATTTGTATGGAACCCAGTGTATAGGTTTTTACGGAAAAGTGAGATCATGGAAATCTGTAAGTTGATGTTTTACTTTGTTAAATTTGCTTAGATTCCCTACTCATAGTTTTTAACTTTAAAAAGTGTTTTATGTAACAGGTGGCCATCCTTCAAATGTTGGAGAAACAGATGGGTCCTGAGTCATTTCGTAAAGTAAGAATAGGAAACCTTGAATTATTATCATGCTTTTATGCTTTAGAGAAATTATACTAGCTAACGATTATGCTTCCAGCTTTTGGGCCTGAGTTGTGCATGCTTTCTCATATTTTTTTTCCTTGTTACCCAATTTTTATTGGAGATTTTAATTACTGTTATTATTTCTTACAATTCTTCTTCAAGTTACAATTTTCCATTCCAATGCTATCAGATATTTGTTTATTGGGAATGAATAGCAAATTGATGGAGATTAAGAAGAGGGCGCTGCTCCCCTTCGAGGCTTAATTGGGGGAAAGGGAGCATTTTCATTTTTACTTTCGGATTTCAATATTCGGAAGATACATGGCTATTCTCTCATTCAAAATATGGGTATATAGAGTGAAATGAGACATGTTATTGGCTGAAGTGTTTGATATTGGAAACTAGGAGATCTTTTCTCTAGAAATTGGGATTATAGATATTACACCCTTGTTTGAGCCCTATTTTGGGGAAAAAAAAGTGTTTTGGAGTAGTGATTTTGATGAAGTGCACAAGGAATTAGAATTTATGATGAAGTGAGATCGCAAGGCAAAATAATGATTTCATGATAACTTCGGGTTTGTCTGTTTTTGGTGAATTGATACTCTAATTTGATTGGAAACGGGTCAAGGATCACAACTCATTGCCTATGGCCATGATGTACGTCGGATTTCGGGCAGATTTCGTCGTTTAGGCTCTCGATTAAGTGTTTTTGCCGTTTATGGTAATTTTTATTTTAGTAATATCTCATTCAATAAAATTCGGATTTGAATTCCGTTTGTTGGAGGACGATCCTGAATATTAGGAGTTTTCATTTAAGTCAAAATTTCGAATTTTTCCATTTATGGAAAAATATATTTTTTTAATTTTTATTATTTATTTTTCGAATTTTGCTAGGGTTTTACTATTTAAAGCATTGTAAGCTCTTTGAATTCGATTATTGAATTGAATAAGAATTTTCGTGAGTTTTATCTCATCTTTGTGAGGTTGTTTATCTTTCCTATAATCTTTCGCTGCGTCAGATTTTTTTGGAGAATGTGTGGTTAAATGAGTTTTGAAAAAATGAGTTTTTGAAAAAATGAGGCTCAAACAATGGCTACGTTTCTATGAGCATTTTTGTCATATGTTGTTCAAGGCTTTTCATTTGTATATATTATTATTAGTGTCATTTGACTTAATAATTTAAATAAAAGGTTTGACTGAAAGCATGGTCCTGCTGATTTTATGTTGCACCTTTTAGATAGTGATTGCCACCAAAACTCCAAGAGCTTGTTTGGGAGGGATTAATCAACAATAATGGCTAGTTTTTCAATTTTAATCCCTCCCAAACAAGCTCCAAATCATAGTTATTAGCCGGACCAAATATTGACCAGGCTAAGCTACCCGATCACTGGTTGGACAGATGGTCTATGTTATGTTTATATACAAATTATCTTTAAAATTTATTAGTCAAACTTATTTTAATGGAACTAAAATAGAAGTTTTAAATGGCCTATTGTTGATCACAAAAATAATTAATTTTTACAGTCTCTTAAGTTGTGTTTTATGTATTAGTATATAAGAATATTTCTTAAGTTGTTCGAATAGAATTTGATATGATATTTGTCAATGCATGATTGTCTGCTTAGATACTTTAATTATATAAATACAGTTGCTCGTATTAAACAATGTGATGGGCTAGCCTAATGGTTTTTTCCTCTACGATTCCTTGGAGGACCAGTATCAAGTCCCCGCTAGTGAGATGTTTCAGAACATTTCAGAGAACCTGATGGAACCGGTTTGTTGGGTTCATAAAAACACATACCGGTTTATCCAATTTACTCCAGGTTCAACCGCTAACAAGTCTGAATATATTGCCTGGACCAGATCAGGGTCCAATGTCACCGGTTTCCCGGCCAGACTGGTCCGGTTTTAATAAATATTCTACAAATGCTAACGTTCTTTTATCATTCTACCAGTTCACTGATTGGTTAGATGCCTTTTTGTGAAACATAAGGTAAAGAATAGTTGAATGGATATAATAGTCGTGTCTTTCTACTCTTTCTTCCATCCTTACTAATGGGATAATAGCCGGGTTTAGGCATAATACTTGGGCAATATATAATCTATTTGATGTAATTATGATCTTGAAACACGACTTCTCTCAAGAAAATGGTAATTGATTGCTTCTTTGGGGATTGTATACATAAAGACTCTCTTATATGCTCTGAAGTGCATATTTCTTTATATTTTTAGGTTTGATGATTATGCATATGTATTCTTCTTGACACCAAATTTTATGTGAAGCTGTTCATACATAGTATTGACAAGATTGATGGGCACATGTAAATACATAAAACATTTTGAGTTTTATGCCTTCTAATTGTAATTGATGTTGGACATTTTTCCTTCACTTGCAGATTCTTCAGACTATTGTTATTCGGGCTCGAGATGCTGTTCATTCTTTTAGAACTCTCAGTACCAAGGAGGTGATTTCATATATATATATAGCTCTGATATCCCTTTACTGCATTAGCTAAAATACTGTGGCCAGGATTGTTAATTTGGTGGACAATTCTTACACATGTATCTTCCTCTATATAGATCATTATCTGGGGTCACCAGAATGGTAAAAGAGGGGTCATAGCACATTGTCCTGTTATTAGACCTGGTGTCCTATATCTCTTGAAAAGGTTTTTAACAGAAGTAGAATATTTTGGATGTGCAATGCTGAAGACCTTTGATTGGCTGACAGTTGTTTTTTTTTCAGTCCCTTATCTGTTTCTGTTTCCCGTTTCTTTTGATAACTATTGTTTGCTTACTATCTTAAAGATTCTGAAGTTTTTCACTGTGATCTTTTACCTGATTATTCCATAGCTAATTATGTATCAAAATGATGGAAATTTTCCAATTGGTTGACAAATTGAGTTCTTGAATTAGCAGAATGTCGTTCACCTCGAAGTCAACAAGAAATGTTTGTTGTATTTTTCCCCTTCTCTTCTTATGTCCTCCCCGTTTATTACATTTATTACCTATGTAGATAATACTAGATAACTGCTGACTAATGTTCGATCATCTGCTGTATGATTTGTTGGAAGGATCAATCTTCTAACTACTAATTTTCCTACTTGCGTTATCTAAATAATGTTTCTCATAATACATAAGACTGCAGTTTTATGGGGAGTGGGGTTGTTTTATGAACTTTGATTATAGAAAGGCTAGCCTTTGCTATCCATCTCAACATATATATTGATAATATGTGTTACATGAAAAAGATTTTCAGATATCCGGCTCCATGTACATCGTTGAGGCCTGAGGGGATCCTACCGTCTCTTGTTGCTTGTATTGGAAAGATAGCTACTGTTTTTCTGTTTTTACTGGTCCAATTGTCTTTCCCCTTGTTTTTGTTAACCCATAATTTTCATAAGGGCAGTTGATTTGGTTTTGATCCAGACTAGATGTTTCTTTCTCTGTCGGATATTGAAAATTGTTAATTGAATATATCATCTTAAAATATATGTTGATTACCATATGGATTCTGATACGGTATTTCATTCATTTGATCAAATATTTGTATAAATGGCAGTTCCGGCACTTCGCCAATAAGGTTGGAAATCTTGAGCGTCCATTTCTTAAAGAGTTTTTTCCTCGCTGGGTTGCGGCCTGTGGTTGTCCAGTGCTGAAGTATGGTTCTTGCTGTAAAATTGCTCTTTACACTGTCTTTTAGGCAGTTAACTTCTTACTGATTTTCCTTTGATTTTTATACTTTCCTTTTGGTCCTGTTTAAGGATGGGGTTCTCCTATAACAAAAGGAAAAATATGGTTGAGTTAGCAGTACTGCGGGGATGTACAGCCAGACCTGATTCTAATGCAATTGTTAATAATGGTAATCCTGATAATGAAAACCGAGAAGGCGATGTTGGATGGCCAGGCATGATGAGCATAAGGGTTCATGAGCTTGATGGCATGTATGATCACCCAATTCTACCAATGTCTGGTGAACCTTCGCAGCTGCTGGAAATTCAATGTCATTCAAAACTTGCTGCTAAGCGCTTCCAGAAACCCAAAAAGGGCTCCAAGCCTGATGGTTCTGACGACAATGGTGATGTGGTGCCCGCTACTGATATGCGACCAAAGTATGTTTTACAAGTTTAGTTCGTGTAGATGCATGTGTTTTTCAGTACACAGATGTTTGTACCCGTGAAATACTCTTTTCGGATTGGATATGGATTTTGTGATGGGTTTCCTAATTCTTACATCAGCTGATAATAACATTGCAGTTCTGATTCTCCCCTGCTGTGGCTTCGCGCGGATCCAGAAATGGAGTATCTTGCTTTAGTTCACTTTAACCAACCTGTTCAGATGTGGGTGAGTATTTACTCTTATCACTACCTGATGATTATTTGTTAAAAGGACCATGGGAAAGGGAAAAGTTCACGTATAATCTTTTACTTCACTTTTAAGAGCTTCTAACTAAAACTTTCACAAGATTTATGCTTTTCTGAAAATCCAAATGTACAATTCCTAACACAGATGATCTAAGACTTATGTATTGACATATGACCATTAAGAAAGAAAAAATATTTTCTGGAAAAAAATATGCCTGATTTATTAGTTAATTCTCACAGAAGAATATGAAACAAAGGGACTTATTTATTATTATAACTTATAATTTATTTCATTAGCTAGCTCCTACAATAGACAGACTATATACACTTGCCCGTATGAATTGTAATTATTGATAGTTGAAGTAACATTTGAACCTCTAGTGCCTATCCATGTAATGACAGTTTTATTATTGATGATTGCAACTCAAATCCCTCTCTTCCTTTGTTACCTAGTCCTCTGTTCTGCGGTTATCGAGGGTTATATTCTTCTCTATGTTGTTAAATACTTTGCCTTTTCATTTCTTTATACTTTCTCAAGTTCAATTATGTATTAAAAAGTATCATTCTAGACTGTCAATATTATTGCCTGGACTTTTTCATTCCCGTCCTTGTATATTTCTCTTGCTTCTGCTCCATTGATGATAAGCTTCCAAATAAATGATATGTTATTCTATTTCTCTCCTTCTTGACAGATGTAATATTCTTTTCCTTTTTTTTTTTTTGAGTTTATTATCTACAAGTTATATATATCAATGTAGTCGATACATTCAACTGGTAACATATGGAATTTAAGTGCTCTAAAATTTTTAACTCAATTCCGAAGACTGCATAATCAACTACTGAAGAAAAAATGATTGTTAAGAACAATAAGATTCACGAGGCAGGAGAAACTGGAAGAGAAAATTCTTGTTCTTCTCTCTTTTGTTTTGTTCTTTTCTCTGACAGAGGATTAAGGGGTTGAATCAATTGAAGCCAGTCTAATGGCTGGAGACAGACATTTAATTGGGTTTTTTTCCTCTTAAGTTCTGGTAAACTCTTATACAGTACACATATTTTAGGTATGCCTGGTATTTACGTCTTATATACCTAAACTTGAATCAGACTTGAGATATCTCATGCGAACCTGTTATTTTGTGAGAGATGAGGACAAAATCTTTGTTATATTTTGAAGTTTGTGAGCTTCTATATGAATTTCTATATTGAAGTGCATTATTAAATTTTGGTTTTCTGTTTCCTTCAAAACTGAAACTACTAATTCACAAACCTTACCTGAAGAAAATGGAAGTTTGTCAACAATCACAATTAACCAAATTAAAAGAAGCTCTTTTATAAATCACTTGCTATGATAACGTTTTGAAACCTACGCAGGTTCATTATGTTGATAATTCTGAAACGCTAATCATCTTAACGGATTTATGCCATTGTTGCTTTCCAGATAAATCAATTGGAGAAGGACAAGGATGTTATTGCTCAGGCCCAAGCTATTGCAGCATTAGAGGCATTACCACAACTTTCATTTTCTGTTGTGAGCGCTCTAAATAACTTTCTCATGGATTCCAAGGTCCCTTATTTCTTTCCATTTATTTTAGTATATTTCCTCTTTCTTTTATCTATGTTCAGTGAGTTGAATCCATTTCACCTTGTGTTGTTCAGGCTTTCTGGAGAGTCCGAATCGAGGCTGCCTATGCGTTAGCTAGTACAGCATCTGAGGTATACCCTACAGAATATTTTATTTTTTGACAAATAGATGAGTGTGTATTGTATATGCTATCATAGATTTTTTTTTTCTTTTTTATTTGTGATTACTGTTATGGAAAACAAAATTGCTATTTACATTGTTTAAGGTGAACTTGACTTTCATTTTCTCAGAATGTATTGCCAATTCGCTTTTATAAACTTCATGGTATATATTTTGCGTGCCTGTGCATCCTGGGTTTATTTTGTTTCTTCTTTTTCCTTGTTTTGATTGTTCAGGTAAGTAGGCTTTAATCTTCGTTTTGACACCTGTGTCTGTATTATAGTTGATCAACATGTACCCTCTGTTTTATTACAATGTTATATAGGCTACATATGTCTACCAATTTTATCTCCTTCATGATCCCTGAAAGAGATTCTTCCTCTCATTTATGTCACACAACTTTGTTGTAATTACTATTGATCTTCTAAGCTTGTTGATGATATATTTTACGGTTTGATTATGTATGAATGCTAATTATCGATATTCGTGTAAATGATGTTTTTATGCCTGTCTAATCAGGATACTGACTGGGGTGGCTTACTCCACCTGATCAAATTTTATAAAAGTCAGAGATTTGATCCAAATATCGGACTTCCCAGGCAAGTTTTTTATGTTATACTGGTTAAATTTGGAATAATTTTTTGGAACTATTATTATTATGTTGATTCCTACATTCTTTCATTTCTAGGCCAAATGACTTCCGCAATTTCCAGGAGTACTTTGTACTTGAGGTAATGCAGTGAGGTAGGATGTGATTTTTGCATCCAAGTTCCGTCTGCAGTTTGTAGCTGGTTTTTTCTTTACTTTTTGAAATTCTCTAGGCTTCTCCCAACGAGATCCACCCTTCCACATTTTTTTGAAAGCCCCAGGCTTGGAACGGGACATACTTCTTTTTTTGTTTCTAACTCAATTGTCTCTCCCCCCTTTGGTTACTCTCACCTTTTCATGTCATGTCCGTGGAGATGCTTAGTAAATATAGATCATTATCAGGTCGTTATTGTTTGTTCTGTTGTACATGGCTTTGATATTTCCATGTCTCTTGCTGTCCAACTACTAATTTTTTTTATATTGATCTACGTTATTGTCGAATCGAGCTTAAATTGATTTGTTCATGAGAATGGAATACTTCAGAGAAATACGTTCTTGACAGAGTTCAATAAGGATGGTTGCAACACTATTCAACCTCCTCCTCTCAGTCAACTATTTATTTAGGGCTTGTGTGACAAAGCTTTTCATAAAAGTTGATGAAATGTGTGGTTGAAAAGTTGATAAATTGTGTATCCCATGAATGAGTGGTTAAAATTGATGTTTGACCAGTTGAGAAGTTTGAAAAAATTTTAACCAAGTGTTATCAAACAATCACTTGTTCATTTCTTATGTTTTGAATATTCTTGCATATATAGGAGGGTAAAGTAGATGGGTTAAGAGGGATTCTTGTGTCTCAACTATTTGATGGTGTTCTGAGTTCCCATTTTAACCTGTTCTTCTTGTCTTCATGGAAAAAAAGGAAAATTAACAATAGCAAATTTCATCTTCTTACAGTTGTCTGTATCTTTCTGATGAAAATTGAGTTTTTAATTATTTTTTAGTTAGTATTTTCTTTATTAAATAAATTCGGAATTCAATTCCAATTAGAATTTTTAATTTTTGTTATCATGTAGATATTAGCTGTTATTATCTAGATTAAAGAAATAATCAGATATTAATCTTATGTTCCTTGTTATCCATCCTTGAGATTGTTTCCTAAAGCCTTATTTTTCTGATAAACGGTTTTGGCAGCTGGAGTCCTCCAGGGTATGCTTTTGCACACCCTACTTCCAAGTTCTTATCGAGTTCCCCAGTTTTCTATATTTGAACCCTTCACTTTCATTTGAGAATCTTAAATTTTTACCATGTCAAGGTGTTTTCTTAGCTGGTTTTCACAGGAGGACGATAACTGTGATTTAGTTCAAGGAAAATGTCCTCCTTTAGCTCTTTATCCTTTCTTGGTGTGTAATGTTTTGGGGGAAAAGTGAATTGTACAATCATATATTGACGTTGCTACATTTTGTGATGCAAGTTAATAGAAGCTGGTTTTGAATAGGTTTCTCTTAAAAGGTTCAGCCAGCTGTTTATTTTAAAATCATTAGGTTTTTTTTTTTTTCTTTCTTACTCATGAAGGCTAGATGATGTTATATAGAAAGCTTTTGTTTTGCTATCTTTTTGGATAATTTGAGCCCGAAAGAACAATTGATTGGTGATTTATGAGTTGGCTTCTTTATTAGCTTCTATGCCCAATGTGTTTAAGGATTTCCCTTTGTCTTTAGTGGTTTCTGGTTCATAGAATGTGGTTATGCATTCTTGATTTTATTCTTCAACTTAGTTTTTCTTTAGTCTCTTGATGGCCATTATAAAGAGAAATTGGGGAAAAATGATGTTTTGAAAAGTGATTTTTGTGGAGAAAATGTGGTTAAAAATTTTGGAAGAGTTTTGAGTTTACGTGCAAAATATTTTGTTTTGTGAATGTGTTGTTGAAAATGAGTGAGAAATAAAGAGTTTTGAAATAGAGAGAGTCAAACAAGAGCTTAATTTAAAGAGAGGTCTTTGCCCATTGGGGTGAACGTGTATCTTTAGTCATGATTAATTAATGTTTCTGATGAAAAAAGAAAAAAACACTAAAGACACTGTCAATCTATAAAACCCATTATCTAATCCTTTCTGCATAATGTATTTAGGAGAATTAATATCATCTCTATGACATCTTTCTTTTGCTAAATTTTCCTTTTATGCTTTCATTATAGGCAATTCCACATGCCATAGCCATGGTCAGGGCTGCAGACAAGAAAAGCCCCAGAGAAGCTGTTGAGTTTATTTTGCAACTCCTGAAGGTATCTTTTCATTATTTTATTGCTTGTGAATTGTGCTACATGGACTTTTTTGTATACTGGTAAGCTTACTTACCATGATGCATGAGGCAAGGATATGGGGTGTGCCAGTGGCATAGTATCTTATTGGGTTGTATGTCTAGTGGGTCCATGCAGGGATCAATTATACTACATGGTTTTAGCATAGCAATTTATTTTGTTAAAGATAGGCAGATCTCATTATTGAAACATAAAAAATTAATCCAAATTCTCGTTTTGGTATGGTAATGTTCAATTTTCGCATGGTTTGGGAATGACTTGTGGTAAACTAAACAGGAAATTGAACGAAGCCATATAGATGATGCACAACTAGTATGATTCTTATTGTACCACTATTTGGTCGTGAACGAGAGACCTAATAACATGTACTCCTGAGAAGTCCTAAGGCATCCTGCTCAACTAATGTTGAATTTTTATTCACTCTGATTCCAGTGCCTTAATGGTCTTTGATTTACTTTGTATCACATTTTCTGATTCCTGTATGATAATTATATCATCACATTTTGTTTTTATGATTTTGATTTGCTTGTAGTACAATGACAACAATGGAAATCCATATTCTGATGTTTACTGGCTTGCTGCATTGGTCCAGTCTGTTGGTGAACTTGAATTCGGACAACAGGTGTATAACCTTGCTTGCTTCAATGTTATATATATATTTTTTCATGATATAAAAAAAAGCAGGAAAAAGAAAAGTTAATGGAGGAAACGATAATGGAATTGGTTATGTTTTATTTGCGTTGGCTCCACTAGGTTGAAGGTCTGGAGTTTTATTTTTAAGTGGTTAGAGATAATGCATTATCTTGAGGCTTTATTCACTTTTCTTGATACTTAAATTCTCGTTTAGGTTCTATTATTGGAGCCTTTTCCCATTTTCTTTTTGGCTTGCTTGCTTGCGCATGGGGGATGGGGGGATAAGTTATACTTTTAATTGAGATATCAGTTTTTCTTGTTAATTTTGGATAATGGTCCATATGTTGCTACTTTAGTTCCTTGGTTTCATTCAAATTGAAAGACGTGTCATATATGAAGGAAACCGGAAACTAATTTGAAGTTCAGAAACTAAGTTGAAGAAGTGGTACAGGAGAAGTATATTCTTTACCTGCACTCATGGTGCATTTATGGGTTGGAGACCCACAGAAAGTTCTGCATACCCTTAATATATGTAATACTCCCTCTCAACTTGGGGTGTACATATTGATAAACCAGACCTCTGTATTTGATTTACGGCTGTATGCTCTTCATACATACAACTTAACCCAATTTTGTTGTTTATCTGGTTTAAATTCCACGAGCAGTTTATATAATTTAGATGGGATTGTTTATAGTGATAGAAAAATGAAAACCTTTCTCGGGATTTTTATTCATCCATTGGAAAGTTTCAAACTAGCTTGGTTGAATTTGAAAATTCACTAATTGATGGAAGCTTGTTACATTTGAACTTAAACGACCCTGATGATGTATTGTGTGTCTATGAAGGATGTTGATTTCAGATACTATAATTGCTCTGCTGAGATGAAGCAATCAGTTATCTTTTAACTCTGCACTTTAGCCATAAAAGTTCTTAGTGCCTTGTGTGCTGCATATATTGTAATTATTATCTGTTTCACGCCTTATATTGTAGTGCTTGTTGATTCTGTGGCAGAGTATTGTATACTTATCACCCCTTCTCAAGAGACTTGACCGGCTTTTGCAATTTGACAGGTAGCACTTATAGGATATTGGATAAAATAACGTTATTCAGTTTATGATGTACTAACAGTTTTCAAATTACAAAAGGTTGATGCCAAGTCATAATGGGATTTTAACAAATAGCTGTATTCAGTCATTGACTCAAATTGCACTCAAGCTGTCAGAATTCATACCTCTTGTAAGTTTTCTCCTATTAGACAGTGTACATTCTTAAGAATCTACCGTTTCTGATAAGGAGCCTGCTGATACTTCCAGGATCATGTTGTTGAACTTATTAAACCATTTGGGGGATCGACCACATGGCAAATTCGAATTGAAGCATGCAGAGCACTCCTTGACCTTGAGTATCAATGCAGAGGAATGGATGCATTACTAATACTATTCATCAGATACCTAAATGACGAGATGTCTCTGAGAGGTTTATACTTCATGAACTCAAGTTCCATATTTCCATTCTATAGTTTTGTTCCTCCCCCTCACATCTACCCTCCCCCCTGTTCTCTCACATATTTGTGATTCCTATTTTCATAAAAATTGCGTTCATGGATCAAATTTTGTACAAATGTTCTTTTATTATGTTTGGCAGTTCTTGTTTACCTTATTAGGCCTAAGTATATAACTTTGAAGAAATTTCTTATCTTGATTACAGGGCAAGTTAAATTAAGTGTCCATGCTCTGCGCTTATGTCAGATGCAAAATCCATCTGATCCTGGCAATGATGTAAAGAGTGACACACTTGTGGCCATGCTTCGCTTGCTTGAGAGCCCCCTGGCCTTTAACAACGTTATTCTTCGTCACTACATTTTCTGCATTTTGCAAGTTCTTGCTGGAAGGTGCCCATGCTTGCATTCTCTTAATAACTCGACTTATTATTGCATGCACCTGATTGCTTGATTCAAAATTCATTACACACTTAATTAAATGAGAATATTTATTGAACATCTTTTTGGTAGGATTTATGTTATACGACAAATACAATATGGTTTCTTTGACATAATTGATGTCAGGTGAATAAAAAGATGCTACTCTAGAAATTTTAAGGTATGACAAATTCTTAGCAGGATTTTCATGCTAAAATGCTAATACTTGTTGCTAATTAAAACCTTTCCTAGTTAGATATTTTTCCTGTACTTTATTTTAGCAACAAATCATCACAGCAATTAACTTATACAGTATACATTGATTTTGCAAATTTTATAATAAGATTTTTTTAATTTAATTTATTATTATTATTATTTATTTTTATTTTTATTTTTGCTAGAGAGAGGATAACATGGTATTCTTGTACCCCAAAAGATGATGGGTATCAATAATTTTCAGCATATAGAGCTTGGTTTGCAAGCTAAAACTTGTTGCTAATAAGAATCATGAGTTCCAGACTCAAATCATGACTGGTGGTTTTTTCGTGACTTGATAATGGCAACTAATAATCAAGGTGTATTCATTTATACTGCATATATTAACAGATTCGTCCTTGGCAGTTTTATTCTATATTGAGGAAGGGGAACAAAAAAAAGAAAAACAGATTTGTCCTTGGCAGTTTTAAGAATTTCGTGATAGATGTATTATATATTGGAATTTTATATGATGAAATTCTAATGAGCTTAACATGTATATCCCTTCATATATATACCGTTTCTTTAACCTCACGCTCTGCTTTGAAGTCCTATCTGCTTATCTATTTTATCGTTGATAGCCTAGTATATGATGGAGTTATATGGTTTGGTTGATTGGTTCTATTCTCCAGAATTTCAGGAAGTTGTACTAAATATTTTTCTTGTATATAGGGCTCCAACGCTTTATGGGGTTCCAAGAGATGAAACACTGAGGATGGGGCATGCAAAAACTAGCAGTGAACTTAAAAACATTTTCGCTGCTCTTGTTAAGCAATCTAATCCTCCAGAACCTTGTTCAGATGCCCTTGAACTTCCAGGTGATATTTTGGTCCCTGAAGTTTCCAAGGAAGGAAATAATTATCCTCAAAATCATGAACAGACTATTGGAGTTACCTATACTACACCTACTGGTTCAGCAACTCTGGATGCGCACAGGACAGCAGAAACTCCTTCTCATAGTCCAGTGTTGCACCATGGTGAAGATGGTCCCATCACGATTAGCAAAGTGTCCACTTTATCTGAAAGTAATGACATGAAGCAAGTCACTGACCTCTTATATGATAACTCAATTGCTCCTGAGGCTTCAAGAGAAGCTGACACTTCATTTGACATTCATCTGCAAACGGGATCCGGTGGTGACCCTGTGCATGATTCTGTTGCCATTGCTGAAGTTCCGAAAGCTGATAATACTGTTTACAGAAGTTGTGAACAAAAGAAGCCAAAGCTCAAGATTAGGGTCAAGCATTCTGCGGCATCCAGTCGGGCAGAGGAACCTGATAATGGTAGACAGATACGATCTCAAGATGGGGCCACTGATGCTGATCATGGAGCGAGCAGCTCAGTTTCTGTTGATGCACCCCAAAGAAATTTCATCGAGAATGTTAGCACAAGTAATCAGAACCTTGATGATGTCAATTCTAGCCATGATGTTGGATCTAGAGTAACTGCCAGCATTGGCTGTGCGAAACTTGCAACTGAACTACAATGCACTGCAGATTCAAGCAAAGTTTCTTTGCCGCTTCTACCTGATGATTACTTGCCTAGTAACACCATGAAAAATGATTTGGAAATGCCGAGCCATGGAAACACTAATTTACCTTCACCGGCTGCCTATATCATTCATTCCTCTAGTCAAGAAAAGGATAAGATAAAAGACGAGAAGAAGGAGAAGAAGAAAAAGAAGAAGGAGAAGCGGAAGAGGAACGACCACGATGGTGATCCGGAACACCTTGAACGAAAGCGACTGAAGAAGGAAAAGAAGCGGAAAGAGAAGGAAATGGCTAAAATCCTCTACGGTGAGACAAAAACTGTGGATTCAGTTGGATTGAGAATTAACGAGGGTGGTGGAGCAACCTTCAATAGGGAAGCCAAGCAGCCAACTCCATTGGAATTTGGGAACAACAAAAACTCAAGCAATAGAACAGAAATGGCGGAAGATCCTGCAACTAAGACGAAACCAAGTGAAGCCAATGCCTCGACAAATGTAAACACAACGGAAGACAGTGCAAGTGCACGCCAACCTAGTACGGGTCATAAAATTAAAATCAAGTTTAAGAATAGAATGCTTGGCAAACCATGACAACTGTTCTACAGTTTGGTTTATAGAAGAAGCTTTAGCCATTATGTGGAAATTACTGTACGAATTCTTAATTCAGAAGCTTAGCCATTATATTGCTTTTGTCGCACTTTCCTCATTATACGATTCCTTTATCCTCTCTTTCATGTTCAATATGTAACCTTTTTCCGAAAGTGTTAGAAACTACATAATATTGAGAAACTCACAATACAAATGTAGTCCATTCAAACAAGTTCTTACCGATGATCTTTAAAACTTTACAATCTAACCTCTATGTTTAAACGAGTTTAAAGGGCTGTTTGATGTAGTTTCTTTTTCCACTTTTTCTAGAGTAGCTTACTAAGGAGGCCACCGGAAAGGAAATAATATTAGCAACAGGAATTTGGTTTAATCCATTATCATTGCGTGCACATAAAGAAATGGTTGCTGTATATCATCTATCCATATTAACCAAAGACGGATTTCCTATTGTTGTTATTTTTGGTTTTGTTCATTGATATATCAACATAATAAATCGAGCAATTTCATTTACATTTACGTAGAGCTTTCATTGCTACAAGGAGCCCCAATAGTCTTAATTTTTTGCTACTGCTGCTTTATTTTTACACAGCCTGTCTTGTTCCCTCGACAAAAATGGCAACAGTACCATCTCTTATTCATCCATCAACAATATAGACAGAGCCCCTATCAATTCCAATCAACCTTCATCACCTATTACCAATATTATTACAGTTTTGTTACATGTACATCAAGTTTAACATTGTTGTGAGGTGTTTACTTTTTATACATTGATAACATCGCTTTAAACAATTAGTGACACAAATTTTGACACATCTTGGAATGTCAAACTTAATGTACACACAGTGTACAAGTAGTTTAATTCATATTGTTACCATCAATGCAGCTTGGATGCCAGCTACCACTAAAACTAACTGGTGCGAATTTTTCATCCTGGAGGGTCAATTTCTTACACTCATATATCATGTATGGATACCATCTTGTTGACTATCTTGATGGATCGTACCCTTATCCTCCAGAGTGGCTTAAGATTGATGGAAAATCGATTATCAATCCCAAACACAAACAATGGGTGAGACAAGATGCTTTCATCAGAAATGCAACGACGGCTTCTTCATCTGACTCCATTGTGCCATCTGTAACATCGCAACTACTTCGGCAGAAGCTTGGATAAAACTGACTCGTACATACGCCAACAACTCGAGAACAAAAATGCTCAGATTGAGGGCATCACTTGCCAAGAATTTTGTAGAGTAATAACGATTATTACAAGTGTATAAAATCCGAACCAATCGACTCAAATCTTCTTCAACCTCACAACCGATGTGTCCTATGATGTTGAGCTCAGATTTGCGCCACACCAGATCAACCCACCATCGTCCACTGGAATGGCAATTGATAACCGAGAAAAACTGCCGGAAGTAGCTAAGAATTTTTGCCGAAGAACAAGTTTCACCACTTAGTCTCTCTTTAGTTAGGAAAGTCAATAATATCCCAATACTCATGGGACCAATATGCGATATATTAACTATAGGATTATTACATATTTTAGATTCCTATTATACTTTGATTATCTAGAATAGATTAGCACAATTATATAAAAATACTTGTATAAATATGTATCTTGTGATTCAATGATATTCATTCAAAAAAGCAATATTATTCTTCTTTTCATCTTTCTCTCTTGTTTGCCAACTTTAAATGAACCAAGTAAATACACATTCAATTATAGAGTCAAGACATTTGAATTCAAAATTCAAATCATTATGGTTAATGAAAGAAACATGGCTATACAAGTGAAAGTGCCCACAAGATTAAACCCAACCATTGTATTTAATCTATGGTGAACAATTCACCCAAACTAGCACAATCCTCATCAAACCCTCAAGACCAATAATCATGTGCCATGTGGATATTAGTGATCCACCTTACAAATTCTAAAAAATATACTCACCATAAAGAGGGTCGTTGACTTGCATTAATTGGTCATCCACTCTCTAATGATGAAGTTGGTAGACTTGGTCCAGAATATAAGGAGATTAATGATGAAATAAGAGAAAGAGACTCATCCATCATGTTTGAAGAATTGTTTGACAAGTTGGTTGATCATGAAATTTTTCTTTAACAAGAAGAGGAAATAAAAGATGTCAATCAGAATAAAAGTTGGTTGCAGCCATTGTTGGGCTATCTCAAGGTAAAACCGTTCAGTCTGGACGAGAAACTCAAGTTCAACACATTTATGACCTGTCAGTTCATTCTGCCATTGATGAACTATCAAGAATTCCCCAGGATGGAATTCTTCAAAGACTTTCCCAGGAAAAATATCTGAATCCCCAGGTGCTGACATGCATTGAGGAATTTGATGGAGAAATAGACAAAGTAAGAAATCTTGCTCTGGAAAAACTGAAAAAATCCAAGAATTGGTGAGCTATTCTCTTGACCTCACAAAACGGTTCAACAGATCCCCCACCCCATATCTGGCATCCATCAACAATCAAGGTCTAGCTTCGGGTCCACTAAGGTGATTCAGGATAGATCATGTCAATTGATACCAGAGCATGGTTTATACATATTTGTAAGTTGCATAATTCATGCATTAGTCTATACACATTAATGATATATTGTGGTAGCAGACCTCACAGGCTCCTATGTTTTGTTTGAAACTTATACTGCTCCCAATAAAGAAGATATGGAAGATTAGGATGTTAGAGGAATTTTCTTAGATTCAAGAAAAAATAAATAAAAATAAAAGCATTTGAATGTTATTGGAAACTCTATGATGGCAAGGCAAGTTGCTACAGCAATTATGTTGGTGCTATGTCATATTTACTATAGTATTACAAAGTACAATATTTAATAGGAAGCTAATTGGGAGAAGAGTAATTCAAATTGATGGAATGCAAGTCCGCTAGTAGTTAGTTATTCATGGGATTATGAGGTCCCTTAACAATTATAGGGGAAAATCTCTTTTTATGACTTGCATGAGAAGTGCTAACCAATGTTTTGATATTTGCATACTTGGAGATTATTACGTGATCGAACAATGAGTATCTTAAGGAATTAAATGATCATTCACATTACATGATTTGTTTTTGGAAATTTATGACTACTTACATAGAGGGATCATGATCCATAGATGGAAATCATGATGGTGTTTTATATGATAAAAATATCACTGATGATAAAATGAAGATTGTTAGGCCTTGAGGAAATTAAAATTCATGTGGCGCTGGCCAATTCTGTTACTTATCAATTGTTTGATTACAAAAAATGGGGGAGAGAGAGAGATATACTACACAAGGGTTACTTGTTGTTTGGTAGAATTTGAAAGTGGGGAAAGATAAAGCCATTAGGTAAGAAGAAATAAAAAGGGAGTTGATTCATTTCAAGCCTTAACCTTTCTTATGGTTTAGCTTGGTTGTGATTCATCACTTGGTTGCAGAAAGCTGAGGATGACAGAATTAGACATGAATGGAAAATTTTAATAGCAGGGGAAAATAATATGAGAGAAAGAAATCAGGAAGTAAATAGAAAGAAAGACTCTTGAAAAAAGAAAAAGGAAAGAAATGGTGAATTATTTGGATATGTAGATGTGAGGTGAGTAAGGAGATGGGATGAAGTCAGTCAAAGAAACAACGGAATGGTCTTCATTCTTGTGCTTAGATAACATGAACATGTATATATCGAAGTAAATAAAGGGAAAAGTGGGATTAGCATATTCCATATACGTATGTGCGTGGTTTGCGGAATTATCTGAGGCAACACAAATTAAAGAACAAGAAAGGAAACAGTAAAAAAAGGTAATGTTGATATGTATTAAGCTTGAGAAATTTGTATAAAAGTCTTAGTGGTATATTGATGTGTAAAAGGTCGACGTGACAGACAATTATAATTATTTTGTGACCATACGAGACTGATGAGGCCATATGGTGTGATGTTATTTATGCAATAATGCTATATGATTATTACATGATATGGAGGATAATGATAAATGAACTGTTCGAAATTAATTAATCTTCTTATGACCACCGTTGGGGTTATTCTGTCAAATTATATCTTATTTGAGACCATCATGTTACATTATGAATATGAGACGATATTTAAGAAATTTTGTGATCTCATTTGAATGAACTTTTTTCTTTCGGCTGTACTTTTTGATCTCATGAATCAAATATTCGGTTTCTACTGAGATAAGTTTTCTTTTTGTGGGATTCATTGTTGACATGTTAATCTATCTAAAGGATAAGACGATAGGCACTGGATGGCAATTTAAGTTATATTATCTCCACAAAATTGATTATGAAGTTTTTATGGATGATGGAAGCAAGTTGATAAAACTACAGAATGTCCTCAGGTTAGAAGGTTAATATCATCTCTTTCTAGAAGATATCCCTAAAATACTTCTTCATTTGACCATTTTGAGTAGAAAGACCATTGAGTTTACATGGACGAAGGAATGTTAAAAAGAGTTTCAAGAGGTGGAGGTTTCATTAGTTCTGCTGCAATATTTACTCTTTTAGATACATTTGAAGAATCTGTGATTTAAATTTGATACTTCATGTCGGGAATTAGAACATATTTTGTTGCAGAATGACAAGGCTATAGTCTATGTTTCTGGACAATTGAAAAGACGTCTAACACATGATTTAGAGTTATGTGTAGTAAAGCTGGCATTGTAGATTTGCAGGCATTACAAAATGGTGAGAGAATTTTTGAATTTATAGATTGTAGAAGTTTAAAGTACATTCTTGATCACAAAGAATTTAACTTCGCATAGGGAAAATGATCAGAATTGTTAACAGATTATAATTTGCAGAATTGACCTTCATATAGGGAAAAATAATGGGTTGTAAATGCTCTCACTTTAAAGACTCTTTACATTTCACTCTAATGCAATTCGTTTATCTTTAGCTAATGAACTCAGATATTTGAGTGACTAGTTATCAGTGATGGCTTCAGGGGCATTGTTGGCTAATTTGTAATTAATACTTTTTTTGACTGTGTTAGAGGAGCTCAATCTCAAGATCAATAACCAAGTATATTGAAAGCAGAGTCAGTGATGGCGTGTGAGCATATTATGCTATTAGAGAATGAGGCATTAGTTATGGGATGTTTGAGCATCTCTATAATATAAAGCTGGCGAAAGAGTTTCTTGAAGAAGAACAAATTCAACACATGTGATGCACCCATGCAGTATGAGAATGTAGTGAACACTGAATTACAGTATTGATTGGGGGATAATATAAAAGAGAAGGAGAAGTGCAAGTGGAATGACCATGACGGTAATACAGAGAACCTGGAAGGAAGTGACTGACGGAGCTGGAGAAGCAGCAGAAAGAGAAGGAAATGGCTAAGGGCTAAGCCTAAAATCCTTTGCTGTGGAACAAAGACTGCGGATTCAGTTGGATTGAAAATTAATGAAGGTGGAGGAGCAACTTTTGATGAGGAAACCAAGCAACCAAGTTCATTAGAATTGGTGAGTAATAATTTTTTCCAAATGTAGTGACCAAGTTTTGGATCCAAACCATAGTCTTTTATCCTTCTTTTTACCCTAACTGACTGTTCACCGATATGGGAGATTGAGAAGCTGAAGCAGAGAATGAGAAGTTGATTTCAGCTTGTGCAATGCGCATGTGCAGTTGCGATGGTAAGGCTTCCTCTCAATATCTGTACTGCACAGTTTGTATGTTTCCATCAACACACACCCAAGAGTAATCTCAACTGCCCGTGTGCCCATAAACAAAGATCAACTCAACAAGTAACAAGTCTATTTTCACTCTCTCTTGTTACCAGTTCTAGTTCTAGGGAGTGATGTGCTTCCGTGTGATTTGGTGTATGTTAGTTGATAGCATAGTGCGTGTAGTTCTTTAAAAAGTTTTCGTAGATCAAAAGATTTTTATTATTACTTTTTTTTTGGTACAGAAGATTCTGGAAGTTGAGTTCCGAAGTAATACAGAAAAATTCTAGGGAAATAAGTCTGTTTGATTACAAATGTGAAAAATAGGTGGAAAGAAATGAATTATAGGGAATTGAATTGCTTAGAATTGTTTCACTAGTAATTGTAATTGATTGTGTTTGATTAGTATAATTTTCCACCTGAAAAATGTTGAAAGTTTGGTGTCCGTTTGACTTTATTTTTTTATGAAAATTTTCCATGAAAGTGATAATTTTTCTACCATTGGGTCTAGAATTTATTCCAATTGCCAAAAAAATTTAATTAAAAAATTTAAAAATTTAAAAAAATTACCATACCGAGTATCATTCGTTTGGCTTTGTTTTGCATGAAAATTGTCAATAAAAGTGATAAATTTTTTTATCATTGTGTCTAGAATTTTTTTCTAATTGCCAAAAATCCAATTCCTTGAAATACTGGAAAGATGGCGCGTGAGGGTGGAGGCTGGAAACCAAATTCAAGGAAAAAGTTTGGCAATCAAACGTTCCAAAAAGTGGAAAATGGAAAAAATTTTCCTACTTCCTCGAAAAATTTGATGAATCAAACGGGGCCTAAGTTCAATTAGACTGGTTTTCATAAAATTCAAGAGATCTAGAAGCCTTTGCCAAAAAATATAGACTTGAGAGGGGAAGCAGTGGCAATCAAGAACCAACTTGTTGACTTATATTCAGCTTCTAATCAATCATTATTCTCACTACTCACTCCCTGTGCCAATACTATCGAGAATGTTTCGTTTTTGGAGCCATAGATTTCATTATCAGATTTTCAGCCACTGTAATACAGTCCAGTTTCATCCTTCCTCAAAAGCCATTGCCTGGACAAGATAATGTCGTAACATCTCATAAAAAGTGCTTTCCAGAGGATAATACAGGAATTTTGATACAAAACAATATCATTTTACCGGTAGAGGACCTCATTGGCGTTCAAGGACGAAGCTAGAATTGTAGAATTGTGGAAGCAAATTTTATAACAAAAATCGTGGGGCCAAAATCTTGAAATATAAAATTTTAATTGTGGGGGTAAAATCGATAATTATAAGGATTTGAAATTGAATGTGGGTAGTTGACCACACTGTCCCTGTATATATTAAGAGCTCATTTAATTCTCATTATTGTAAAATGAAAATGAAAAATATAGTCTTTATTGGGTCCACACAAGATATAGAAATTCAAAATTAATGGCTTGATATGATGGATAACGGTCATATTTTTCATTTTTATGAATGAAAAATGAGAAAGAAACGAGGGCTAAATCCGCCCTTACTGGCGTTAGCCACGTTCTTGGGCAGGCCTTGGAGTAATTACTCCATCGCAGCGTTCTTGGAGTATAAGATTGAAATCATGATTGATCTGAAAGTGTGGCAGCCTTGAGGCGGTTCGCCAACACCGGAGATGGTGGTTTATTTGGAATTTGATAATCGTGACCCTGGTGCAGTGACCTGTGGAAGGGTGTGAGAGTTAATCTTTCTGGTGTAGAAGCTAGGACTGTGAGTTCTCTTATTAACGGAGACCAGTGGCTCCCAGGTACCTTTCTAATTTAGGCCTCTAAATGCAATTTATTTTGAAGTTAATCTCCCAAATTTCAATAGAAATGAGAACCTAATTCCTCCTTTTATTTTCTTTATTTCTTTATTTTTCTATTACTTTCTATTTTTGTTGTAGATATAAATAAATTTGACTAAATATTTATGAGGCTCGAAATAAACTCAATTGAGGAACCAGGCTGGGATTTCAAACGAGTCCGATAGATGTATTTATGAGGTCAAAATCCACAAAAATATATTCAAATCTTTCGAATTAATGAAAATTTTAGTAATCCATGTTGTTGGGACTCTTAGATTTTAGTCAAATTAATTAAAACCTGAGTTGGAAATACCTATTTTTTTTAGTGAATTCTATTAAAATATGAGTTGATGACACCTAGAAATAAATTGCTATAACATCCGACTTTAATAATATATATTGTGCTAATTTATTGAATTAATTCAAACAAAATACATAAGTGCTCACAAATTTTGGTATAAAATTGGTTGTTACCTTAAACATTCTCATAAAAAACCAACACAATCTGCAAAACCATGTCCTTTTTCAATAAATTGTTTCTTATTGTTATTACAATGGCTGCAGACATTTTTCGGCTATCTCATGGTAAACTCATCAAGTCGGGATGTGAAATTCAAGCTCAACGCATTTATGAACAATCAGTTCATTCTGCCATTCATGAACTTTCAAGAGCCTCCAAAGAATTTTCCCAGGATGGAATTCTTCAAAGACTTGCCCGGGATAAACCAGCGATTTCAGCATTAGAAAGTTGTCGTTTACACCTTTCTGTTGCATTATATAATCTCAACAATTCATTAATATCCCCAAGTGAGTCCTCGTTGGATTCGACAGTGCTAAACGATATTAAAACCTGGCTGAATGGTGCAGGTGTTGGCCTTCATACATGCATTGAGGAATTTGATGGAGAAATAGACAAAACAAGAAATCTTGCCAAGGAAAAACTGAACAAATCTGTTGAATTGGTGAGAAACTCTCTTCACCTCACAAAACAGCTTAACACTCGTATAAGCTCAACAGATATTCCAAGGTTATCGTATTCCGAGGTTTCGAGACCAAATATGAACCCTAATCTTGTAGTGGCAAAAGATGGTTCTGGAAATTTCAAAACAATCAGCGATGCCCTTAATGCTGTCCCAAATTACAGTAGTAAAAGGTTTGTTATTTATGTGAAGAAGGGTGTTTATTATGAAAAAGTTAAGGTTGAGCTTTATAAGTGGAATGTCGTGATGTTTGGTGATGGAATACATCAGACTGTTGTTTCTGGCGATGCCAGCACGTCCGACAGAATTAAAACATCTATGACTGGAACTTTCTGTAAGTTTCTATATCATAATCCTTTTGCTTCCTCCTTTTTCCCTAATCGCTATAGGGCTCGATTTATTGCAAAAGGATTTCACCAACACCTGAACTTAAATTTTCAGAAAGTCCTCAGTTCTTGAAAGTATTTTGAATGGAGAAGAGTTCTTCTGTACAAATCAAAATGTGTAGAGCATTCTATATTTCATTCAAACGTTTTTCTTGATACATGCATACACCATTTTTCAATTTTTCAACCACTCTACCTACAACATAAGATTTCACATTTTTTACACCATATATTTTTCAAAAAGTACAAACAACTTTTGCTTAAATTAAATTAAAACCATACATTACAAAATATCAATCCATCAGTAAAGTTACTGCACTCTAGAGCAAAAGGTCATTGCATCAACACTCCTCCTTGAGCATTTTGCTAGAGACTCCAAGCATTGATCTTAGATGTTCAAACCTGGCTTTAGGAAGAGCTTTTGTGAAGATATCTACAATCTAACTCTTTGAATTGCAATACTGAAGACCGATTTCTTCATTTTTCTCGGCCTCTCTCACTGCATGAAACTTGATCTTTATATGCTTAGCTTTCCCATAATTGATTGGATTCTTTGACATAGCTATAGCAAACTTCTTGTCTCAGAAAATCTATGTAGCCTTTTCTGGATTAAATCCCAAATCACATAAATATTTTCTGAGCCAAATAGCTTGATTTGCAATTGCTGCTGTTGCTATATATTCTGCCTCGACGGTGGATTGTACAACACCTTCTTACTTTCTTGAATTCCATGAAAATATGCCTGAACCAAAAGAAAACAGTACCCCGAAATGCTCTTCATATCATCTACTCAACCTGCCCAATCACTATCAGAATAGTCCCTCAAATGCCAATCTATAGATTTTTTAAACCACACTCCAAAACTAATAGTTCCTTTTAAGTACCTGAAGACTCGTTTTGCTGTTTTGAAATGAATGTCACTTGGTGAATGCATAAACCTTGAAAGAAGACTCATTGTAAACATCAAGCCAGGCCTTGTTGAAGTCAAGTACAACAAGCTTCCAATTAAACTATAAGTACCTTCATTCGCCTTTTTTGCCCCATCTTCTTTTGAAAGTTTTTCATTAACTCCAAGAGGCGTTTCAGTTGGTTTGCAGTTTTCCATCTTAAATTTTCTCAAAATTTCCTCTGCGTACTTCTTTTGAGAGATGAATATTCCATGGTCAGTTTGATGAATCTTCATGCCAAGAAAGTAGCTCATAGCGCCAAGATCTGTCATTTCAAATTGTTGCTTCATTTCATCCATAAAGTTTTTCATCTCCATTTCATCTTCTCCAGTTAACAACAAATCGTCCACGTATAGTGAAATTATCAAAACAACTGCATTTTCCCTCCTTTTTACATAAAGAGTGGCTTCATTTTGACTTCTTTGAAATCCTTTTTGTTGAAGATAACCATCAATTTTGTTATATCATGCTCTAGGCGGTTGTTTTAAACCATAGAGCGCCTTCTTCAATTTATAAACTTTGTCTTCCTTTCCAGCAACGATGAACCCCATTGGTTGCTCTAGATATATCTCCTCCTTTAACGTGCCATTCAAGAAATCAGATTTAACGTCCAGCTGGTATACTTTCCAACTTCTCATGGCTGCAAGTGCAACTAGTAGTCTTATTGCTTGCAACTGGAACAAATGTTTCACAATAGTCAACTCCAATTTTTTTGTGAATATTCCTTTACTACAAGTCTTGCCTTATGCTTGTGCATTGAACCATCAGAATTCAACTTTGTTCTGTGAACCCATTTTACTCCAATGACCTGATTATGAGTTGGTTTATCAGTAAGCTCCCATGTATGATTTTTTTTCAATCATTGTTATTTCATCTTGCATAGCATCTCTCCATTCTCGACTTTCAACCGCTTCTTTATAGCATGTGGGTTCAATCATAGCTATTCTATAATTTTCATAAATCTCAGCCAACGAATTAGTTTTTTGAACATGTGATTCTAAAGAAGAACTTGAAGAAACATCAGATTCTTTATATGAAATTTCAGGAATGGTTTCCTCATTTTCAGCATCAACTATATCTTGAGCCTCATTAGTAGATTGCTTTTCAACCTTTGCCTCTTCCCAGTTCCAACTAGCATTCTCATCAATCTTCACATCTCTACTTACAATGACTTCCTACTTTTCAAGGTTAAAGATCCTATAACCTTTCGATTTAGAGCTATGCCCCAAAAAAATGTTTCTCTATCTTTTCATGAAGCTTATATCTCGTCACATTAGAAATGTGAAAATAACACATTGAACCAAAGATTTTGATATGATGTGACTTGCTGAAGGTTTCGTTCCAGTCCATACTTCAATAGGAGTTTTATGTTGCTCGGCCTTAGTTGGAAGCCTATTTTGCAAATACACAGCAGTATAGATAGCCTTTGCCCAAAACTTCTTAGGAGGTTTTTTTTCAAAAATCATACATATTGCCATTTCCATCACCGTTCTATTTTTTTCCTCTCTCAAACACCGTTTTGTTCAAGTGTATATGTCACTGTTAGTTTTCGTTCTATACCTTCATCATCACAAAATTTATCAAATTCTTTTCATGTATATTCCAGTCCCTGATCTGACCTTAACTTCTTCAACCTACAACCAGTTTGAGTTTCCACCAGATTTTTGAATTTCTTGAAGATAAAGAAAACTTGAGACTTTCTACTCATGAAATAAACCCATGTCATTCTTGAGCAATCATCAATAAAAAGAATGAAATATCTGTTTTCACTCAACGGGGGAGTCTTCATTGGTCCACAAACATCAATGTGGACTAGTTCCAATTTTTCACTAGCCCTTGCACCACTTGAGGGAAAAGAAAGTCTATGGTGTTTTTGTCAATTGGCAACATTCACATACTTCTTTACTCATATTTATAAGAGGTAAATCTCTTACCATTCCCTTCTCATAAGAAAGTTTGAGTGATGACAAGTTAAAGTGCCCAAATCTTTTGTGCCAAAGCCAAGTTTCATCAGCATTAATTCTATAAGCATGTGAACTAAGACAGGAAGACCAATTCAGTGGAAAGCTACAATTTTTCACTTCAACATTAAATATCTCTGCTCCACATGAATCATAAATCTTACAACTTTTATCTTTAAACATCAAGCAATATTCTTTATTCATCATTTGAGCCACACTTAAAAGGTTTTGATCTAAGTTTGGTACTAATAAGACATTTGAAATAAGCTTAGTACCTTTACTTGTATGCACAACAATAGTCCATTTACCTTCAGCATTAACATATTGTGCATTCCCCATCTTCACTTTGGTCTTGACTGAAGTGTCCAAAATAGTAAATAGATTGGCATCAAACATTATATGATTGGTACACCCACTGTCAATATACCAGTCTTTGCTCATTTTTTGCTGTGATTGTTGTGATGTCATAAACAAATGTTCTTCTTCTTGCTTGTTGGTAAAATGAGCTGTTTGAACTTGTTTATCTCCTTGGCCTCGTAGAGTTTCTTGTTTTTGTTTTATCCTGCAATATCTTTCTATGTGCTCAAATTTTTTACAGAACCAGCATTGCTTCTTACCTTTGTGCCAACAATCCTTTTCCAAGTGATTTGATCTGTTGCAAATTTTGCAAGGTGGATATTTTCCTCTTCTGTCAACTTCTTTTGAGGTAGCCTCAACACCTTTACGTTTGTCATCTTTTCCAGCAGATTGGTTCCTTGCAGGAAATATATTTGCTTTGTGCCTCACTTGGAAAGCTTCTTCAAGAGACTCCTCACTTCTTCTATTAGTTCTTTGTTCATATGCTTGTAGAGATCCAATAACCTCTGTCACTATCAACTTGCTGAGATCCTTTGATTTTTCAATAGCTGAAATTTTTGATTCAAACTTTTGAGGCAAACTAATCAAGATCTTTTCAATAATTCTTTGATGCAGAATTTTTTTCTCTATGAAGCTTCATCTGATTCACAACTTCTATGAGTTTTGAAGAGTACTCTTTAATAGAATATGCTTTAGTCATCTTCAACATCTCAAATTCTCTCCTCAACATTTGTAGCTTCACTGTTCTAACCCTTTCTGTGCTTTGAAACTCCTCCTGTAACAAATCCCATGCCTTTTTTGCTGTGGTTGCAGCAATAATTCTTAGAAAAATATTTTCTGATACGGCACAATGGATGACAAAAGAGCTTTATAGTTTTTGGTGACGTCTTCTTTTTATTGTTTGATTTGTGCTATAGTTTGATCTTGTGCCTCCTTTGCAGGCTCAAAACCCTTTTCTACAGTTTCCCATAGATCATAAACCATCAAGAAAGCTTTCATTTTTACTGCCCAAGAATCATAACTTTCTCCGGAAACACTTGTTGCCATGAAAAATATTTTCTCTGGCCCTTAAGATCATAAATGCTCTGATACCATGAAAGTATTCTGAATAGAGGAGTTCTTCTGTATAAAACAAAATGTGTATAGTATTCTATATTTCATTCAAACGTTTTTCTTGATACATACATACACCATTTTTCAGTTTTTCAACCACCATACCTACTACATAAGACTTCACATTTTTTACACCATATATTTTTTAAAAGAGTTAATTTTATCTACACTCACGCAACTTTAAACGTGTTACCACTTACTCACTCAACTTCAACGGATTACTGAACGCTCACTCATCTTCCCTTATTGTTACCCATCCACCACTCACTCCACTCCCGTCTCTTTTAATTAACAGAAAATTACATGTGGAGGACGGAATATTACGTGGCAAAATGAGCGTTAAAAATAATCCCTGCTGGAATAAAACTCACGACTCTCATCTCCTCTCCAACACGCTTCTCTCCTCTACTCACCAACTGGGTTAACAATTTTTGAATTCCCAATTCAATTCAAACCTTAAATCTGAAATTCCATCCCCGACAGTCGAAAATTGGTGGACTCCACTATCGCCCAGCTACTCTCTCTTGATCTGCCGTCGCCCAGCTCAAAAATTGGTGAAATCCGCCATTGCCCAGCTCAAAAATTGTTGATCCTTCCACCAATTCAATTCAAACCCATCCAATTCAATTCAAACCCCGACGGTCGCATCATCTCCACCACCACGAAGGAATCTGCCATCGTCCAGCTCAAATCTCTCAAGGACGACAGCGCCAAGCTAGAAGAGAAAATCGTAGAGCTCGATGAAGTTGCAAGTAGATTTTCTGATTGTAGCTTCGGCGGAGATACTGGTCATCTTCGTCCATTCTCAGGTCAAACGCAGAAGCATTTTGAAGATGCAACATTTGCTTTGCAAATTGGTGGAATTACTGAAGCAAG